TAAGGTTTTTTTGAGTTCATTCTTCAAAGCACCTCTCCTCTATTTCAGCTATTCTTGAACACTCTTTCAAGTAATCAGGGTACTTTAGAGAGTTGAAGACATTAAATGTGACTTTTTGGTCTTGAAGTCTCATGGTCAACTCTCCTTTCTGGACATCTATCAGAGTTCTTCCGGTGGCTAGAAATGGTCTCCCTAAAATAATAGGAATGTCCTTATCTGCCTCAAAGTCTAGAATGATAAAGTCTGCCGGAAATATGAACTTATCAACTTGCACTAACACATCCTCAATCTTTCCCTTAGGGTATGCTATGGATTTGTTTGCCAACTAGAGTGTAACCGTGGTAGGTCTAGCCTTTCCTATGTCTAAGGTGTTAAAAACAGATAAAGGCATGAGGTTGATACTAGCACCTAAGTCACACAAAGCTTTCCCAATCTCTTTCCCACCTATAGAACAAGGAATAGTAAAACTTCCTGGGTCTTTAAGCTTAGGAGGTATCTTGTTGGTCAGAAGTGCACTACATCCTTCAGTAAGAGCTACGGTTTCATACTCGGTCAGCTTCTTTTTCTTACTTAGGATGTCCTTCAGGAACTTAGCATAACTAGGCATTTGCTCGATTGTCTCAACAAGTGGGATGTTGATGTGCAATTATTTAAACACATCCAAGAACTTTTTAAAATGCAGTTCCTCTTTCTGATTCCTCAACCTTTGAGGGTAAGGAACATAAGGCGGGACTGGTTTTATCACATTCTTGCTTGAATGTGTTGAGCAAGATGAGTCTTGAATGCCTTGAGTCTTTGTGGTGCACTTTGGAGGTTTAGATGGAATTTTAGCATCAAGCTTAGAGGTCTCTAAAACCTCAGTCTCTTCTGACTTTTTTAAAGCATCCTTAGGAAAGAGTAATGGATAGTCTGATCTAGGGGGGACAAAAGTGGTGGTCTCAGATGCCTGCTTCTCTAAAGGTTGGACCGGTCTTTCTTTGGCAGGAACCAATGTTGTAGCATCAGTTTTTGACAAACTTGGTGCACTAGCTTTTTGCACCTTTTTCAGTCAACCCCTTCCCACTCCTAAGGGTCACTGCTTTCACATGTTCCTTTCCTAAGGCTCTCGGGACTTCTGTGTTACTAGGCAAAGTACCAAGGACTTTATTGGTCTGATTGAGTGCAAGTTGACTGACTTGGGTTTCCAGATTTCTGATAGCCGCACTTGGCTGATTAAAAAAAGATTGATTTTGAGAGTTTTGTTGGGTTATCAAAGCTTGATTTTGAGCTTGAGCATGCGCAAATAACCCTTTTATCATTGCTTCCAAAGAAGATGATAAATCAGCCTGTGGAGGTGGCTTGTTTTGAAAAGGTGGTTGTGAATTCTGAAAACCTTGTTGGTGATTCTGAGAGTTAAAACTGTTTCCATGATGTTGAGGTTGGAAATTGGAAGTTTCTTGTTGTTTATGGACTGGTGGATTTAAACTTGGACTGTTCCAGGAAAAGTTCGGATGTTGTTTCCAACTGGTGTTGTAATTGTTGGAATAGGGGTTAGCTCTGTTATGAACATAATTTATTGATTCAGAATTATGAGTATAATGTTCATATGAATGATCCCCACCACAACACACACACTGCACAGATAGGACTGTTGGGACAGGTGTATTAGCAGCTTGCTGTCCTCCCTGACCAGAAGTTAAATTTTTCAGCATGTTGGTCATGGAGGTAAGCTAAGCTGTTAATGCAGTATATGCATCTACATCATGTATCCCAACAGTCTTTTTATGTGATTGAGCACGTGGGTCAGCCCAGTGCCCATTGTTGGCTGATATCTTTTCCAGGATTTCATATCCTTCATTATAGGTCATAGTTGTGAAGGCTCCGCCTACAATCGCATCGAGCATTTGTTTTGCCATGGGATTTAACCCACTGTAAAACGTCTCAAGTTGAATACAATACGGAATGTCATGGTGTGGGCATTTCCTTAACAGCTCTTTAAACCTTTCCCACGCGTCAGGAACAGCCTCATCATCCATTTGTTTAAAAAGACAGATTTCATTCCTGGACTTAGCGTTCCTTGTTGGTGGGAAATATTTTCGCAAAAAAATTTCCGCCATGTTACTCCACGACGGCACAGAACCCGGAGTTAAAGAATTAAACCATGTTTTTGCCCGATCCCTCAATGAAAGAGAAAAAAAGTGAGTCTTAGAGCGTCATTTGACACTCCCGGGATCAGGAAAGCATCAGTGATTTCCATTAAAGATTTTAAATGGGAATGTGGGTCCTCCGAAGGTAATCCGACAAATTGGCCATTCGTTTGCAACATGTGAAACATTATCGGTTTTAGTTCAAAATGGAGAGCGGTCATATGTGGTCTAACTATCCTGGAATTTAATTGCTCAAAATTCGGAATAGCATAATCCATGATCCTTCCATTTTTGGAATTTGCCAAATTAATGATGTTCGGAGTTTGTGCTCTTTGTTGATCATTATGTTCCGATTCTGTGTCCTCATTACCCAGATTATTATCATTATGTGGGTGTCCTTGTGGAAAGTTCGGAAATGGTGGTATTGGTGCAAAAACTGGCGGTTGGTTTTCCAAGTGCGGTATTTCCGGAATGATTGAGGGAGGTAACGCCATATTTGGAGGGAGTAGAGCAAAAAATGCTCTTTGAGCCCTCCTCCTATGGTGAAACATTCTCTCAATATCGGGATCAAATTCAAAAAATTCTCCGTGATGTGTCTGTGGCACACACCACTTTTAAAACGATTCCAATGGTACTAGAAAAATCAAATCTTTTGTTTTACTCAAAATAAAACTTTTAGCTTGCCAATCCCCGACAGCGGCACCAAAAACTTGGTCGGGTGATATCTCACACCGTTAGACAAAGGAATTGGGCCACAAAGCAAGTATACAATACGGCCCAATGTCGTCTTTACAAGTAATAAAGTGGTACAAGTACCGGAATATCATCCACGGAGATTGTAGCCAAAGTTAAATGAGAGTCCAATGAAAGAGATGATTTCAGATGACGATTTTGAAGACTTTTGTTTGATTGTAAGGTAAATTAAAACAAAATACAGATTATATAAAAGTAGCAAGGGTGTAAGACTTAAGATGAGACTCAAACACAAATTCCAGTAGCCAATGTTGTAGGAATGCTACAGCAAGCAGTGTTTCGAAACTAAGTT